GCCTTGTCGCTCCTATTCTAGTGGTCGGACTAGTAGTGCCGCACTGGTTTGCTCTTGTCTTGTTTGTACTCTTCTGACCGGTCTTCGGACCCTTGCCCCTGAGGTTGGACTAGTAGGGCCACCCTGAGCTGTGTGTTTCTTTCTAGGCACTGCCCCTTGTCTAGCCTAAGGGGTGTGTCAACATATATTTATATATTGTTATAGGCTAGATAGGTGCATGCTCATAGAGAGTACAACACTATAGCATAAAACCCCCCCTGTATGCTTGTTTCTAGTCATTCGGTTACTCTGAGATCAGCAGGAGGGAATGTTTCAGCAATAGCATGGAGTGTAGCAGCTGCAGGGAGTGTGGCAGCAGCAGGGAACGCAGCGTTAGCAGTGAGCGCGACGGCAGCAGTGAGCCTAAATCTCCATACTCGACCTTTTGCCAGTTAAAACCCGAGTCTAGAATGGTAAAAAACCATGAGTACTGGGCATGAAATCAGTGCCAAAAAAACTGGGCGAAAGTAGTTTCGCCAAAGTTCCCCCGACGAAGACAAAATTTGGCGAAATAGCAGAACCGTGATCGCAGCACGGAATTTCATCGGCAAGAACCGAGTTCAAAAGTGCATGAACAGTGTGTGGGGAGTGGGGGGATGGGGAGAACAAACAGTGACGCGAGACCCCCACAAAAATGCATTCAGAATGGTAACAGGCGAAAATCAAGAATACTGAGATGAACAGGAAATTCCGGGTTTGTCCTTTTCAGCGGCATTCGCAAGCTGCCCCCTCTTCCCTGAGAATTGCAACGTTCAAACGGCATTTACTACGTTACCCTCCCTCCCTCCCTCCCTCCCTCCCTCCCTCCCTCTCTCTCTCTCAACCAATCCTGGGGATCTCCCACTGTCCACCCATCTCACTCTCTTTAAACTGATCCCTCTCACCCTCTCTATGCTCATATCCATTTCTTCTCACTCAGCCCATCCATCTCTCTCTCTCCGACCATTCCTATGGCTCTTCTCCAGATCTTCACAAGCTACCACTCATCCCCACTATTCATGTCTTCTCATCCCCCTCTTCTCATCGCATCTCTTATGAACAGGCCGTGCGGGAGCATTCTTCCTGGGTTTCTTGTGCACAAAAACTCTAAAGAGAAAGTGGTCTCAGAATAGAAAAGTTGACTAGAATGTGACATACATGTTGATTTTGTGCAAACTTTGTACCCACTAAGAGCATGCACATATCTAGCCTATTATAACATACATACAAATATGTTTGACACACCCCCTAGGCCAGATGAGGAGCAGTACCTGGAGGTCGACACACAGGTCAGGGTGGCACTACTAGTCCAGCCTCTGAGGCAAGGGTCCGGAGACCAGTCAGCAAGAGTACAAACAAGACAAGAGCAAACCAGTGTGGCACTACTAGTCCGACCACTGGAAGAGAAGCCACAAGGCCAGTCAAAAAGGTATATATAAAGAGAAGTACACAATCAAGGTCCTAGCAAGTGAGTAGCTACATGAACCAGACCAAGCTGCAAACAGTGCCGCTGATGATCTCTAGGCGCAAGCGCCTCTAGTAAAGATATCAGCTGTGTTGGCACCGGAGGCCACGTGTACTACACGGGCCTGGCGATGCTGCTGTAGCTCGCGCAGGAGGAAGTACCGCAGCTGGATGTGCTTCGCTCTGCCCTCCAAACGAGGCTCCTGACATAGGAGGATCATGGCCCTGTTGTTAGCATATAGAACCGGGGCAGAGCTAGGCCGCTCACCTAAGTCTGTGAGCAAGAAAGTCAGCCAACGGAGCTCCTATGCCGCCATGGCACCAGCGTAGATCTCAGCCTCGCAGCTGGACTCAGCAACTGACGACGAACGAGTGGACCTCCACAAGACCGCGCCTGCACCATGGCTAAAGAAGTAACCCTGAGAGGACGTGAGGGTCTCTGCGTCGTCTGCCCAAGAAGCGTTAGTGTGCCCAGTAAGGACCACAGGCCTGCATCCTCCCAGTACTAGCCCCATGCCCAATGTACTTGCTAGATAACGCAAAACCCTGTTAGCGGCCGACCAGTGCTGTGGTCGCTGTCTACTTGTAGCCACAAAGCGAGCTAGGATGCTGAGAGGGTATGCGAGATCTGGGCGAGTGCAAGTCATCAGGTACATGAGGCAACCCACCAGCTCTTCGTAAGGACCACTGGGCTCTACTGACTCCTCAGGAACAGGAGCGGAGAGCCTGTGGTCTATTCGCAAAGGTATGGGCCGTGCGGAGGAGAATTGAAGACCGAACCTCTGAAGGACTTGGCGCACCAAGTGTGACTGTGTGAGAGTGATGGTGCGAGCTGCTCTGTCCATGGAGATCTGCAGGCCAAGGTAGCGGCGCAGCTCTCCTAGGTCAGTGCAGGTGTGCCAAGCGGAAAGGTACCGGTCAAGCCCTGTGGACAGCGCAGGTAGACCTACTCGTATAGGCTGCCCTGAAGGAAAGCAGTGGAGAAGTTGAGGGAGTGAAGCTCGTACTCACGCTGTGCTGCTAGGTGTAGCAGCGCCAAAAGAGTAGTCATCTTCGGGGTCGGGGCGAAGGTCTGAAAAAAGTCCAACCCCTCGCGCTGACTGAAGCCTCGAGCCACGTAGCGCGCCTTGAACAGAGGCGGCTCTCCAGGAGGGCGCTTCACCTTGAAGAGTCACCGGCCATCGAATACGTTCACCCCAGGTGGGGGAACTGTGTCGGCGTAGGTGCCGGTGGATCTCCAAGATGCCATCTTCTGCTCCATGGCAGCTATCTACTGAGAGGCCCAGGGTCCTGAGGTCGCCTCAGCGTAAGTGTGAGGGGTTGGGATGTAAAAGGCGTATGGATCACCCTCAAGGACTAGCGGAAAGGAATAGAGATGGGGAGCAGCCTCGGACAGGAAAGCAAGCTCGTACTGCCTGTCCTCTATGACATTATTGCCAAGGGCAGGAGCACCCCCAACGGACGGAGGGTAGGCAGGGCCAGAGACCAGAGCTGTGGCATAGTCAAGGCGGTGGGTAGAGGCGAAGTTTGCGACAGCAGCGACAAGAGCGTCAAGACTCGAGACACGAACATACGGGTTGGTAACGATGGAGGCAAGGACCCGAGGAACAAGAGGACGAGTAGCACGAAGGTAGTCAAATTGAGGGGGAGGCGCGACAGCGAGCGACGACGGAGGAGGAGACTGGAGGAGGGGAGGACGAGACGCATGGGAATGAAGCAATATAGGGTGAGAATGCGTAACAGGAGAGACAGGACGAGCACGAGAGGGGCGGCGCGACCAGACGTGAGACGGAGGCGTCGGGTCAGGAGACTGAGGAGGAGTAATAGGAGGGGAACGAGGTGGGAACCTAGCCGGGGACGAGTCCGGCGAAGGAAACACAGGACCGTAGACAGGAAGGGGAGGAGTCAGCAAGGGAGGCACAGGCGAGCAGTCAGGGGAGGGAAGGCCGAGCAGGCGAAGGGCGGACACCGGCGGCGACTGCTGCTGCTGCTGCTTATCGATGCCGACACCTGGACCGCCAGCTACACCACAGCTACCTCCAAAACACTTTATGCCTGCACCCCCAAAGCAAGCACCCCCAGAGCGAGAACCCTCTCCAGCAACGTTACCAACCCCGAGCCCGCCAGGACAAGTCACGACAGGAACCCCAGGACTAGCACCCTCCTCAACGCCAACACCCCCTGAGTCCACAAACTGCTGCTGCTGCTGCGACGGCGGCGGCTGCTGCGGCTGGGACAACGGCTTCGGCGGCGGGGGAGGGGATACTGGGGGAGAGGTAGGCGGCGAGAACCGCGCCGCGGGGCCACCAGAGTCAACCGACTCCTCGACCGGGACCACAAGCGGGAGGGGAGTGACGTTAGAGACTCCAGATGGAGCAGGACAGGGAGGGAGGGGAGCAGGGGCTACCGGGGGAGTGGGAACAAGAAATAGGAGTGGGGAAACCGGGAGACCTCGGTGGAGAAAGTGGCGGTAAAAGGAGACAGACTCGTTGAAAGTGACGTCACGCAAGTGAAGAAGCAATAAGACGGCTGGTGGTAAAAGTGCCAGTCAGACGAGTCAAGAGGGAAACCAAGGAAGATACAGGGGACAGTGCGGGCAGTGAGCTTGTCCGTGCCAAAGGCACGAACATGAGCGAGGCATCCCTAGACGTGGAACGCAGACGCGTCACCAGGAGTCCCGGTCCAAAGGAGGGTCGGTGAAACCTACGGCCGCTGGGAGTGGGGCCACAGGTTCAGCTGGTGAGCGGCGTAGCGCAAAGCGAACGGCCAGTGACCAACCTGGCACTGACCTGGAAGGTGACTTTGGAAGCCGCTTGCGGGACTGTGGGCGGCTGTTTGGGGGTGAGCGGCCACTGCTGCGTCTCCTCCCTATCATTGTCGACCCCAACGATGTTCCTCCGTCTGTGGTCTGCAACTAGTGCTGTAGCAATACGCGGGACGGGGGAAGTAGGGCAAAGGGGGAAGCAGGGCGAAGGGGGAAGCAGGGCGAAAGGGGAAGCAGGGCGAAGCAGGAAGCAGGGCGAAGCGAGATGCAGAGCGAAGCGGGAAGCGGTAAGCAGAGGGGAGCGCGGGAAGCATCATGCGGGTAGCAGGATGCGGACCAGGCGAGGCGGCGGAATAGCTGTAGAAGGTAGCGTTCTAAGTGGGTAGCGTTAAATAGCAGAGATGCGGAAGCGGGATGCGGGTAGCAGGAAGGAGGCCGCACTTCGCTGTCTCGCAGTGTGCGGTGTTCATCACGGGAAGCGGGAGCACGGGGAATGCATAGGGGCGCGGGTGGCGTTTTGAGGGGGAGCGGGAAGCTGCACGAAGCGATTATACATGCCTCTTTGCTAAATTAGCTCATAGATACTGAACAGAGATTCACCAAGGGTGAGCTTCTGTTCTTCTAGGTTGCCTCCCGTTCGTTTTCGACACCCGATTCCATAATTGGTTCCCTATTTCCGGGTGGTGCATGTGGCACCACACCATTGGATACTCCATTCCAAGATCTCCTTCGCGCATGCCCTGGCTTTGTGCACTGAGCCTGCTTTGGTTTCACTCGGCGTTTTTCTACAACTCGTCTCGTCGCATGGCACTCACTGTACACAAAAAGTATTTTTTTTTGTGTCGGTTTGGTCTTCCCTAACTCTTCGCCCCTGCCCTGCCCGCAAATGATTACCCCTCTGCTATTTTGCCGTGGGGTTTTAAAAGCCCAGATAAATAAATAAGGTTTCAACCAGAGCACAATCCAAAGGCTCCCAAGACTCTCCATCCCTTCTCCCAACACCTACTTGCCCTTCCTCCCCCTCCTCTTCCTGCTCCTCGGAGGCCCCACACACAGCAGGTAGCGCATCTGCACCTGCGCCTCGCTATACACCACATACTCGTTCCTCTCCACACACGGCTGGCCGCCCTTGGCTGGCGGAGTGATGTACTGGCACACACAGCCATACTCCTCCGGCCTCGATGCTTTGTGCGCCTCCAGCTCCTTGCGAGAGATGATGGGGCCGGCAGGGATGCAGCAGCCGTCAGGGGTCCACAGGCAGTGAGCGAGGTCGGGGGTGGTTCTGCCGATGGCAAATGTGGAGTGCGAGCCCGGCAGAGCCTCCTCCATGTACGTGGCCTGTGAGACGGCCTGTGACTGCCCAAGGGCCACCTCACACAGCAGCAGGCAGCGCGTCTGCTTCATGACGTGTCCTCTCCCAACCCCCTCCTCCTCTTCCTCCTCCTCTTCCTCCTCCTCTTCCTCCTCCTCGTAAGTATGGCTCCTCCAGTGCCCATGGTGCTGCGTGGCCGTATCACAGTACCCCAGGGATTTTTGGAACTGATCCGCAAAGTAGATGCCCTTCCCAAAGGCATAGCCCGACACGTCCGCTTCAGGAGGTGCGACGCGCAGCCCGCCGCTGAGCAGCCCGCAGAAGTTGGCCACGGAGGAGCCGTGGAACAGCAGCTGCCGGTGCGCGCGCACGGCCGAGGGGAGTGCGTCGAACCGCTCCCTCTCGCCCTCCCTGCACACCGCAAACACGTCATACACCTCAATCTCCGCCCTCGAAGCTGACCGGTGCACGTAGCGCGACAGCACGCGGTGGTGCTGGGTGCGCGGGTCGAGGCGCCGCATCGCCGCCCCCAGCCCCAAGTAGCAGTAGTCCAGCGGGTGGATGGCGGCCCGCCGCCTGGCCGCCGCCTCCGCCAGCTGGCGCCGTGCGCCGATGAGCATCTTGAGCGCCAGCTGGAGCTCCCCGAGGCTGGAGAGCAGCGCCTGCAGCGCCAGCAGGTCCTCCCGGGAGCGGATGCACTGAATGCGGCTGCGCGTGTGCTGCGTGGACGGCACGAGCTGGTAGAATTCGTTGCTCCGCTGCACCAGCTGCTCGCTGAGGCCCCTCCGCACCTCCTGCGCCGCCTTTATCTCCTCTGCCACCCGCTCTCGGGCTGACTGCCTGCTGTTGCTGCCCTCGCTCGTGCTGACCCTTGCCACGAGGGCAGTCTCATTCTCGCCCCCCTGTCCCTCACCTCCCCCCCCTTCACCGCCCTCGCTTCCCTCCAACCCCATCGCCCCGTCCCCCCCTTCCTTCTCTCCACCCACTCCCTGCCTCTCACCATCCTCGCCCTCACCATCCTCGCCCTCACCATCCTCGCCCTCACCATCCTCGCTCTCACACACCCGGCGTCTCTTCCGTCGCTTCTTCGCCGCCCCATCCACATTCGTCGCCTCATCTCCATCCTCCATTGCCCCATGCTCCTCCTCTTCCTTCTCCCCCCCTTCCCCCCCCTTCCCCTCCTCCTCCTCCTCCGCCTCGTACATCAGCCGCTGCTGCTCCGCCACCAGCTGGTCGATCTTCTTCCCCACCGCCTCATACTGGGGGACCAGAGCACCCACCTTCGCCAGGACCGTCTGTCCTCCCTGCAGTGCGTCGTCCGTCAGCTCCCCAAACGCCAGGTACGTGTCCACAGCGCCCAGGCGGCGCGCCTGCGCTCGCAGCGCCGAGACGTCGCAGATGACTCGGATGAAACTCTGGAGAGCCTTGGGGAGCCGGCTGGGCTCTGCAGCTGCAGATGCTTCAGCAGCGGCAGCAGGAACTGCAGCAGTGGCAGAAGCAGCAGGAGCAGCCGCAGCAGCATGCATAGCATTATCACCATTATCACCATTAGCAGCGTCAGGCAGCGCAGCATCAGGAGCAGGAAAAGCAGGTGCAGCAGCAGCAGCAACCCCTTCCCCTTGCACTCCCTCTCCTCGTCCTCCTACTCTCCTTCCCAAGCCACTCTCCATGGCAATCAGCTGCGCCAGAGGCAGCACCAGCTCGACCTCCTCGTCCACATGGCCCTTGGGGATCTTCCTCCCCTCGCCTTCGCCGTTGCCTTCGCTCTCCCCTGCCTTCTTCTTCCCTGCTGGCCGGGCCCGCACGGGTGTGTATTTCCCTGGCTTTGGCTGGAAATCCCCACAGCTCTGCCAGTCATTCCCGGACTTGGCCTTGAAGATCTTTTCAAACTCCTTCACTGCCTCTTCCCGCGAGCCCATGGGGGTCTGCTGGTGCTCGCCCTCGTCACCCACACGGCCCCATCGGTTGAAGAGGATGTAGAGGTCCTGCGCCGCATTATGCAGCAGCTGCATCTTGTAGAAGTTGTGGAAGCCGTAGCGCCCGTACTCCACGTCAGTGCGCGTCATGAGCACCGAGTAGTCCCCAAGTACGCCGCATGTTGCACGGAAGTCGCCCGCGTGCTCGTCCACCTCCGTGCCGCACGCCTGCGCTGCCGCCTCCAGCTTTTTGTCCCACTCCACCCGCATCGCCTTGGCATCCGCCGCCACGTCCACCGCACGTCCTTCTCGCACGCCCGCACTCCCCTCTACCAGCCAACGCTCCCCTGCCTCCGCTGCTTTCTGGGCGCCCTCCCGCCCTGCTGCTATTTCTGCATCAAATACCTCCAGCACACCGCCATCAGTAGTCACGGCAGTGCCTGTCACACCTGCCGTATCGCCTCCTTTCATCAGCTCTCTGATGGCGCCCAGCATGACACCTGATGACTGAGCTCCAGCGTCGTACAGCACCGTGTGCCCCCGGCCATCCCTCGTTGCCCACCGGAATGCCACATGTCTCGAGGGCGCATCCCCCGATTCCCCCCCCTGCACTGCCAGGCGGTGCAGCAGGCGCAGCAGGTGTGCGTTCTCATAGGATACCTCGCACGGCCCAAAGGTCGCCACAGCTGAGTGGTATGCGGAGCGAGCATACGGGGGTGGGGCCAGGTTCAGATCCACACCCACGTGGCTCATCTGCACAGCAATGCCACGTGGCACCGCCAGCTTGCTCAGTGCTGAGCTGGCAGCCTCCTCGTCCCGGGATAGTGGGGCGGTCCACTTGCCGCCCAGGAGCACTGTAGCCATGCGCAGGTCGTTGCACCGCACAGCCTGCGTGAGCACCGTCTGGCCGCTCGCATCCCAGCGGTTGGGGTTGGCTCCGAAGCGAAGCAGCAGCTCCGCCAGGCAGTGCTGGCGCTGCCTCACCGCCACCACTATGGGCGGCAGCGTGCACAGCTTCTGCAGCGCCTGCGCCTCCCCCAGCACATCTGCACGTAGCGCCGCCTGCACTGTCTGCTGCACAGTGCCACCGTCGCCGCCCGCCTCACCGCTGCCAGTGGCAATGGCGCTCATGTCAAGAGGAAGCTTCTCCTGGCGCCCCACGTTGGGATCGGCGCCCGCGCTGAGCAGGCGGTACACATCCGCCAGCAGCTCGCCACCCCCCACCTGCAGCACGCGGTGCAGCGGCACCGACCGAACACCGTCGCATGCGTTCACGAGGGTGGGGTCGCCCCTGCGCAGACACCACTCCACGAGCGGAGTGAGGGCGGCGGCACACGCGAGGTGCAGGGGGGTCTGCCCGAGGGCGTCTGTGGCAGCCAGCAGCATGCGAATCGGATCATCTGCCGGTCCCATCCCATGCGCATCCGATGTTCCAAAGGGTCCCGCTGCTCCTGCTGCTGGCGCTGCTGCTGGTCCCGTGGGTTCCCCCAGCGCTGCCTCTATGGCCTGCAGAATGGTGCCCACCCAATGGAGGCAGAAGGTGGAGCGGTGCTGCGCAGGCACACGGGCGAGCTGGTGGAATACCGTTCGGCGTGACACCGGCTGCTGCGCTCGCAGTGAGGCGGGGGGGGCCCGGCGCAGCAGCGTGAGCAGCAGGGCGAAGTTGGCACTGGCGAGGCAGTCATGGATGGCAGTGAGGAGGTCCACCCCGCGGTCCAGCATGAGGTACGCCAGCCCATTCCACCCCTTGTCCAGCACCACGCGGAACGACGACGCCTTGTACGCATCTTTGGCACGCGCAATCTGCACGCGCGCTTGCTCTTGCTGCTCCTGCTCAGAATTCCCCATCCCTCCCTCCGCCCCCTTTGCATCCTCCAGGGTCACATCCCCCCCGCCCATTCCTGCTCCATCTCCCTCCTTGTGCTCCTTCCCCTGCCCCCCCACTGCACCTTGGCCATCCCCACTTCCACCCTCCTCCAACTCCTCCCATGCCTCCTCCGCCTCCTCTGCCTCCTCCGCTTTCTCCCCCCCGTCCGCCTCCTTCACCTCGTCTTCCGCCTCTTCCTCCTCCTCTTGCCCATTTCCCTCATCCTTCTCCCCATCATTCCACCAATGCCCCCCTTGCCCCCCCCCATCCACGATCCAAGGGCACTCCCCGGCCGTCCTTCTCCGCCGCTCCGCCCGTGCGATGCGCGCAAGCAGCTTGGCGGGGAACCTGCGGTGGTTGGTGGCGGGGAGGTGGATGTCCACGCCGCTGTGGTCCAGCAGGTTGATGCACACCGCCAGCTGCCCGCCAATCAGCGCCAGCTGGAACACGCCGTTGTCGTCCGCATCCGTCCTCGCCAGAGCCGCCCCTCGCCGCACGAGGAAGTTGGCGCAGATCTGCGCGCCCGCCTCGCACGCGTACATCAACGGGGTGCGCCCGAACCGGTCCGGCGCGTCGATCACCTCCGCCACCGCCACTCCTCCTCCACCTGTCAACCGTGCTGCCGAGCCGGTTGCGCCGGCAGCAGTGACGGCAGCAGTGACAGCCGCACAAAGCATGCTGAGCAGCTCGATCGGCTCCTCCCCTGCAGCCGGATGGGACTCGCCCTCCACTGCTGCCACGTGGCGCTCCCCCAGCCGCACAAACGCGAGGTGCACCACGCTGCGCCCGTCCTCGTCCCGCGCTGCCACGTCAGCCCCTGCGTCGAGCAGCGCCTTCTCCACCTCGAATGACTCGCTGGTGCTGCCCGCCCTGCCCGCTGTCAGTGCAGACGCCTGCACCGCAAACATGAGGGGCGTGCGCTTCCTGTTGTCCCACGCGCGGGCCTGCTGCTGCTGCTGCTGCTGCTGCTGTGCCCCGCTTTCCCACAGGAGTGCACGCACCACGTTGATGTCAGCACGCTGCTGCAGGTGGCATGCGAGGGCCGTGGAGCCCTTGGCCGTGCAGCGCAGGGGGTCCACGCCGCCCTGCTTCAGCAGCCAGGACAGCAGCCACAGGGCATCCTCACCGGCCCGTGCAGCCAAGTGCAGCGCAGTGAAGCCAAGGCTGCGCTGTGCTCTGGCCGCTAAGGTGGGCATGACTGAGGGATCCACGTTGCCCCACGCTCTGAGGCGAGGGGGCGCCTTGCTTATGTTGACGTCCTGCTCACACACTTGCAGAAAGCGAGCGAGGAAATGCAGGAACGCCTCCCTGGTCAGCTGATACTTCCTTGCCGCCTTCTTCTTTGGGGGAGGATGGGAGGAAGCTGAGTCGGAAGTGGAAGAGGAAGGAGGAGCGGAGGAAGGAGAAGGGGAGGAAGGAGAAGGGGAGGAATCAGAAGAGTGCGTGCCACTGCTTTCACCACTCCCTCCCTCCTCTGCTCCCCCTCCTTCCCCTTCTTCCCCTTCTCCTTCTCCTGCCCCCTCTCCCGCTCCCTCTTCTTCTCCCTCTCCCTCCTCCACGTGCCCATGGCTGAGCGCCGCCACTTGTTGCGCGGGGGGAAGGCGCAGCTGCAGCGCTCGTTCGATGATGGAGAGGAATGCCACGTCACCGTCCTGGTTCGTCTTGCATGCCAGCTGTGCCAGCGACGCCTGCTGCTGCCCCTCCACGCCCTGCTGCTCCACCCCCTCCTTCCCCTCCGGCCCCTGCTGCCGCTGCTCCCCGGCGGCCAGCAGCTCCAGCAGTGGCAGTGGGTCGCGTGCCCCCATCACCACCGCCAGCACGTGCAGCGCCGACCCGTCCTGCTCACACCCCCCGTCCACAGGCGCCCCCGCTGCCAGCAGCTGGCGAATGCAGCGGTCGCGCACGGCTGCTGGTAGGCTGGTGCTGGCCATGAGGAGAGAGACCAGAGACCTCTCCACCTGCACGCTCTCCCCCTCCTGTACCAACACCACGTGCCCCTGCACCCCCTTCACCTGCATGTCCCGCTGAGCCTTGCTCAACGCCTTGTCTCGCAACGCTGCCTTCACCTCCGTGCTCCTCACAGCGTACCGCACAGCCCTGCGCACGTGCGCCACTGCATGCGCGTGCACGTCAGCCCCCGCCCCCAGCAGCGCATCCACACATTCCACGAAATCCCTCCGCTCCGCCTCAGAGTCCCTGGCCTGCCCCACGGGGCTGCTTGCACCGCTACCTTCTCCCCCAACCCCTTCCCCAGCCCCTCCGCCAACCTGGGCGGTACGGCGGAAGGGGTTGGAGGCTTTGAGCGTGGGGTGCTCTGAGTCCCTTACCCTACGCGCCTGCTTGGTGTAGAGCTCAGCTCCGCTGTGGGGGTTCAGGAGGGTGCGAGACACAGCGGCTGCGAGAGGCGTCATGCCGGCTTTGTTGCGCAGGTTCAAGGCCAAATGCGGCCGGACGTCTGCCTGCAGCAGCAGCCGCAGGAGCACTGCAGGCTCGCAAGAGCGCAGTGCCAGGTGCAATGCGGAGTCGCCTTCCTCCTTCGTCTGAGCGTTCACCCACCCCCAGTCGCACCCCCCCGCTCCCTCCGCCGCCGCTGAGCGCTCAACCGCAGCTCGCAGCAGCAGTGCCACGGCGCTCCTCTGGCGGCGGCAGAACGCTGCCCACCTGCGATAGTAGCTGTCCAGCGTGCTCTGCACCTCCTTGTCCACTTGCTCCACCGGCTGCCCGCCCCACCAGCTGCGGTACTTGTTAGGGGCATCGTTGGCAGTGAAGTGAGGGGGCGTGCATCGGAGCACCGCCAGCAGCGGCGTCACCCCCAGGCGATCGCGGTGCGTGAGAGCGGCCCTGCATGTGGAGCTTCGCAGGAGCGCCCTCAGCACGTTCACGTTGAGCCGCTCAGCCGCCAGCTGTAGCGCCGTGCGGCCCTCGCCGTCCACCGCGTCCACGTCAGCGCCGGGCGCCGAGAGAATGGCGGCGGCGATGCGGGGGTCAAGGCGGCAGGCGGCTGGGCGCAGCGAGGCGAAGACATGCAGAGCAGTCTGGCCCTCCCGGGCGTCCTTCACGGCAGCTGAGATGGCGTGAGACACGAGGAAGGTGACCTGCGAGAGGCAGAGGTGAGGGTCGGCCTGCTTGAGCGTGACGGCGTGGTGGAGCAGGGACTTGCCGTCGCAGTCCACCGCGTTCACACTGCCACTACCAGCACTGGAGGAGGAGGAGGAAGCCATTGCACCACCTTCCTCACCTGCCTCTGAGTCCATGCGGCACTCAGCATCAGCCGCCAGCAGCAGAGGCCCGGCACCTGGGAGCGCTGGCAGGGATGCAGGCGGTGCAGCAGAGGAGAGCAGCGCAGTGGCGATGGCCATGTGGCCTTTGAGCACGGCAAGGAAGAGGCCCGAGAGCTTCCACATGTTCACCTGGCTGCGATCCGCGCCCGCCGCCAGCAGCAGGTCCACGGCGCCCTTGCAGCCGTACGCGCACACATAGTGCAGCGCAGTGTTGCCGCTCGAATCGGCGCTGTCAGGGGGCACCCCGCGCCGGAGCAGCGCCCGCAGCACCGCGAACTGGGAGTTGCGCGCCGCCAAGACGAGCGCGTTGCGCTTCAGTTTATCCGGCATCAGCAGCAGCTTCACCACCCGTGCCTCCCCGTCGCTCCCCCCTGCCACCAGCGAGAGAACCCTCTCCACCGCCGCGTCCAGCCCGAGCGCAGAGAGAATGTGCAGCACAGTGAGCTTTTTGTCCTTGGAAGGCAAGAGGGGGTCACCGCCCGCACGGATGAGGAGCTCCAAGACCTCAGCAGCCACGTTGGGCTTCATGTAGAGGCACTCCCACGCCGTCACGTGAAGCAGCGTCTGTGGCGTGCGCTTGTCCAACGGAGTGTTGAGCACCAGGTCCACCAAACTCACTCGAGCCCCTGCCACTGTCCCGTCAGCTTCTCCCTCCTCCGCCGTGCCGTTGGTGTCCCCTGCAGCCTCCTTTGGCAGCAGCAGGCGGGCGGTGTGCGGGCGCCCAAACGCCAATGCGCGGCGCAGGGGCGTGTGGCCCTGGCGGTCCTTCTCCTCTGCGCTCACCCCCTGCTTCAGCAGCCACTCCAGACACGCCGCACTGCCCCCTGCCACCGCCGCAAAGTGGATCGGCTTGCGCCCCTTGCCGTCCGCCACGTGCAGCGCCAGCGGCCCCGCGCGCGCCACCAGCTGCTGCAGCAGCCTTGCGTCGGGCTGCAGGGCCGCCAGGTGCACGGGGGTCATCTGCTGGTTGCCATACCCCGACTGCTTCAGCACCGACCCCGCCCGCACCTCCACACCCAGCCTGCCGTCCGCCGGCCCCACTGCCAGCTCGTGCACCGAGTTAAAGCCGTAGCTCGAATCGCCGCTGCCATCGGCGCCGCGGCAGAGGCGCAGGAGGTGCGCCGCCGCGGGGAGGTTCCCCGCCTCTGCCGCCTCGTACACCAAGCCGCCCCCTGCGAGCTCAAGGCACTGCGCGAGGCGCGAGGGCACAGGGTGGGCGGGGTCGCGTGGCTTCAGGTACGCGGGTGCGGCAGGGTCGGGCGTGGCTGCCATCATCTGCAGCGCCGCCACGGAGCAGCGCTGCGCAGCGAATGAGAAATAGGTGCGGAAGGAGTCGGCACGCGGCTGGGGGTCCTGCAGGAAGGCGTTGTTGCCCTCCTTGCCGCCGCGGCTGGCCTCCAGCTGGCGCGTGGCCGTGCCAAGCATGTAGAAGGACTTGCTGCCCGTGCTGATTCCAGCCAGGGAGCTCACGGGCAGACGAGCACGCGCACTCACCACGCGGCTGCTCTCCTCCTCCTCCGCCTGTGCCTTCTCCTTGGCCTGGTGCTTCTTGCTCGCCTTTTCCTTCATCCCCTTGCGCGTCGTCGCCTGCCCCGCTACCACGTCCTGTGCACCCGACGCGGCCTGCGATCGTCCCACGCCCTTCCCTTGGCCCTTGTCACCACCATCACTCCCCTTGCCGCCCTTCCCCTTCCCTTTCCCCTTCCCCCCCTTGCCTTGCTTCCTGCGCCTCGTGCCCCTCTGCGCCTCCTCCTCCTCCTCTTCCGCCTCCTCCTCCTCCCCCTCCTCCTCCTCCTCCTCTGCCTCCATATCCGTTGCACCTCCCTCCACGTTCTCCTCCCGCCCCAACCCCCGCCTTCCCCAGCCTCCCCCGACCCCTCACCACCCTCCCCCAGGCCCTCATCCTCATCATCACTCAACCCCCCGCCCTCTCCCGCCTCCCCCACTGCGCATTGCCCCAGCAGCCCGTTGGCCTCCTGCCGATCGCGGTCCAGCAGCAGCATGCGCGCCAGCCGCACCTCCCCCGCCAGCAGCGCTGCGCGCAGGGGGTCAACGTGGCACTCCGGGGACCACTCCAGGTGCGGGTCCGCCACGCGCGTGCGTGCAGAGCGCCTCAGCACGGCGGCCAGCAGGGCGGCGTTGCGCGTGCGCACGGCGCGGAAGGCCTCGCGGCTGGCGCAGCGCGTGCAGCAGGAGGCGTCAATGGACGACGGGTGAGCGTGGGCCATGGCGTCATCCACATTGTCCAATGCAGCGAGGCGGGCCTGGGACACATCCATCAGCTTCATCTTCCCCCGCCCCAAAAACTTCCTCGCCGCAGCCCTTCCCGCCTTTGCTGCCTTTGCTGGTTTCCCTGCTCTCACCGCCTTGACCTTCACTCCCCTGGCCCTCACCATCTTGCCTGCAACTCCCCCCCCTCTACCACCCGCCAGCTTCCGTCCTTTGCCCAGTTTCTCCCCCTCCACCTCCTCCGCATTCCCCTGCTCCTCCTGCCCTTCCTCTTCCTCATCCTCCTCGTCATCCGCCTCGTCCGACGAGTCCCCGAGCTCTTCATCGGATCTGCCAGCCCTGCGCACTGCAGGCGACCGCCACTCGGGCACCTGGTAGAAGGCTGGAGACTTGTGGGGGCGGAGGCTCCTCCGCCGCCCACCACTTTCGCCCACCTCCATCGCTGCTACCTCTACCACCTCCATCGCTACCTCTGCCACCTCCCCCTCCTCCTCGCCCTCCTCTGCCTCCGCCTCGCCCCTCGATCGTTTCCGAGGCTCCGAAGCGCCATTGGCCAGCGCGGCCTGCCGACGATCCGTGGACCTTCTGGTGAAGGGCGTCTTCGCTGGGGTCGCTTTGGCTGGGGTCGCTTTGGCTGGGGTCGCTTTGGCTGGGGTCGCTTTGGCTGGGGTCACTTTGGCTGGGGTCGCTTTGGCTGGGGTCGACTTGGCTGGGGTCGACTTGGCTGGGGTCGCTTTGGCTGGGGTCGACTTGGTTGGTGTCTTGGTCGCCGGAGTCCTGGGTGTCTTGGCGGGAGTTTTCCCCGCCCTCGTCTTCCCCGCCCTCGTCTTTCCTCCGCTACGCGCTGTTGCTGACGCCGCGGTGACTTTCAGCGGGGTGGAGCGAGTGGGCCGTAGTACCCTGAGCTTGCTCGCGGCTGTCGCGGGTGCAGCAGCCCGCCGGGGGTGGGAGCGAAGCGGTTTCTTCATGCTTGCGTTGGGCTGCCCCGCCGGTTGCACTGCCTGCACGGACAGCAGCAGCAGCGGGCGGGGGGACTTCGCGGACAGCGGCAGCGCTGGCGGATCGACGGGCAGCAGGTGGTGGCGGCTGCAGGGGCGAAGGAGTGCTCTGCGGGGTGTTGGATGGGGGGGCGGGGAGGGGAATGCTCTCTTGAGCCTTTTCAGTAGCAGCAGGAGTGCTCTGCTCTTCACCTTTTCTTTCTGCCACGATATAGGAACTGGGCCCAGTGTGCGCCGTTTGGACCTGAGGGGGCAGGGGGGGAAGGGCTGATGGCAGTGTGCTTACAGTGGTGCCTTGGACCTGAGGGGCCAGGAAGGGGGGCAGGGGGGAGGTTAGTGGGATTGTGCCCCGCCTAGGGCCGGTGGGAACAGGGAGGGGAGGGCGGAGGGGAACGAGCGCAACTCCGTAGCCGTCATCATTGTGCGCAATTCGCGTTAGTACCGCGCTACGCGTATCCAGTTAACTTCCGAAGACAATTCGCTAGTACCGCGCTACGCGTATCCACGAAACGCGCTGTAGAGGGATGGCCTCTGTTAGTACTGGGCTAGAAATGTTTCGCCCGTTTGGCGTGCTCCCCTGAAAGCGCCACGATACGCGAGCATTGCTGGACATGGACGATGGCCGCGAGCATTGGTACAAGCGCCGCTTGACCTGAACCTCTTTCTCGACGGGCAGCACGTCCAATGCGGCTGATAGTAGTTTCGTTTTGAGTCGACTCAATGACCTGAACTACTATGACCTGAATCTCTTTCTCCCGTCCGTCCAATGCGGCTTCACCTTGGTGGCGCGCGAGTCCTGCTCCCCGCGCGCGCCGGCTGTGGCGAGCCTGGTTGTACACGGGCTAGGACGTACCTTTCTAGCTGGGACCGTAGTTGCTACAGCTGGCGGCTCTCCGCGTGGGGTGCCCAGGAGGCGCGGTTGGGTTCGTGGCAGCACGCACTCTGCATGCCGGTGACTTCCCCGCTCCTAAGCTTTTGTTTCGCCTCACTCCCTGGGTCTGCCGTCCCTTCCTTTCCAGTCGCTCCTGCGCCTCCCTGCTCTGTCGTTTCAGGCTTTCCCGCGGTCCCTAGTCGTCCTCCCCCTAACGCTACCCGTGGTTGGGCTTCCGCGTCTCGCCACTCATCAGGGTCGTGCTCCTAGTGGCGGCAAAGTTCCTGACGTGAGTGTTGGGCCTTGGAAGCTGGTGGTGGTGTAAGCTAAGTCGATGGCTTCGCGCTGGGGGATGCTACGTACCACAGGCACTGGTGGCTGTCTGCGCTTGCTCTGGTGCTTTTCCCCTAGCTCATGCTTTTTGCCATCCCTGAAATAGAAATTGAGGGGAATGGGGAAACAACATCGGGGGGAGGGGAGAATTGGTATGGAGGGGAGGGGGGAATCGAGATTGGGGGGAGTGTGGAAAAGATTGACCTCGAAATTGCTGGAGGGGGCGGGGCGGGAAAAGGGGAGAGGAGAGTTCGTCAGTGTGTTGTACTTGGGTTGCGCAACCCTGTGTCGTTACCGTGATCCCCGAACATCGCATGGCGTGTGAAAGATGGGTTGAGGTTATTCGTCAGTTAGCAATCCGGGATGCGGTCTCGAGGCAAAGCGCAACCCGTGAACCACGCCTCAGGCGCATTGGGCGAGGTGAAATCAAGATTCCCAATAACGCGATTATGATTGGGCCAATTTCGGCTGGCGCAAAAGTGCGTTTGATGAGGCGCGAATGGCTTTCCCCCTGGTGCGGCAGCAAACTGAATCCACACGCAAAATGTTGTATTGGTGAAGTCTCCTTGTCCCCGATTTTGTTTCGCCTGACTCCCTGGATCTGCTGGTGGGTTTTTTGGCAGCAAACTAAATAACATCTCCTTATCCCCTGTTCCAGTTTTGAAGCGTACATCACTATAAAGGGGTTTCTCATACTTTTTATCATGCTCATCCGAGCCGCGTTACCCAATGTGGCCTATCCCTATCTTCATGCACATTTTTGCGATTTTCACATTTCGTGCTCGTCGAGTGCGCTATGAGCCCAGTTTCCCACCACGTGTCCTAGCCATGCTTATCAGAATAGCGCATAAAAAGTGACTAGGAAGGGAGAAGGGGGAATACAAGTACACAGGATTTATCCTACCTATTAACTAATCTAGCTAGGCTATACAAACATAATTAACCTAACTAGATATGAGCATATATAAATATAGGTTTGTTGACACACCCCCTAGCCTAAGTAGAGGCCACAAGGCCAGTCAGCAAATGTAGCCAAGACGTGCAGGTATAGGACAGCAAGTACAAGCCGGAATACCACAGATCGGGATACAAGTAGGAGAGCGGCTACTGAGACTAGAGCAAGTTTAGTACAAAAACCGCTGATGGTCACGAGGCGCCAGTGCCTTGGTGAAGACATCAGTAGGTTGGCCTCTGAGGCCACCTGTACTATACGAGCCTGACCGCACTACTGCAACTCACATAGCAGGAATTACCGCAGTTGGAGGTGCTTCGCTCTGCCCTCAAGTCGGGCCTCCTGACACAGGAGGATCATGCCCCTGTTGTCAGTAAACAAGACCGGGGCAGACTTAGGCGGGTCACCTACGGTAAAGTAAGTCGGTGAGCAAGAACGTCAGCGAACAAAGCTCCTGAGCGGCCATGGCCCAAGCGTAGATCTATGTCACACAACAGGATTGAGTTACGGACGACGACCGAGTGGAACTCCACGAAACTAAACCAGAACCAAGACTAAAACAGTAGCCCTGTAAGGACCTAGGCGTCTTTACGTCGTCAGCCCACGACGCGTCTGTGTGTCCAGTCGGCACCACTGGCTCCCGTCCTCCTAGTACAAGGCCCAGTCCCGATGTACTTGTCAAATACCGCAGCACCCTCTTGGCAACCAACCAGTGGACTAGCTGGTGCCTCCCTGTCGCAACAAAGTGAGCAAGGAGACTGAGAAGGTATGCTAGATCTGGTCGAATGCAGATCATTAGGTACATGAGGCACCCCACCAGCATATAGACCACTAGGCTCAGCCGGAATAGGAGCAGAGAGCCTGTGATCCACAGGAAGAGGGGTGGGCTATGCTGAGGAGAACTAGAGACTGAAACTCTGGAGGATCTTCTGTACCATATGAGACTGGAAGACTGTGATCGTGCAAGCGGCACGGCCACGAGAGATCTCCAAGCCCAGATAGCGCCTCAACTCCCCCAGATCAGTGCAAGTATGCCTCGTTAGTAACTCGGCCTTCACTGAGGCCAGTGCGTCTCTGACAGGAGTAGCAAAGATAAGATCGCGTACGTGTGGAACGGGGTCTGACCAGTGCGAACAAAGAGAAAAGGGTTCGCAGAGGACCGGAAGAACTGTAGCTCAGCAAGTGTGGTGCAAAGCGTGTCATGCCATTCACGGGGTGCTTGGCGTAGGCCATAGACAGGGCGGCGCAGGCTCCACTGGGTCCTAGATGGGAACGACCCAGAGAAGCCTGGTGGGCGATGGAGGTAGATGTGCTCGTGCAGACTACCCTGCAAGAAGGTTGTGGAGAATTCAAGTGAGTAAAGCTCAAAGAGTAGTCATCTTCGGGGTAGGGGAGAAGGTCTGGAAGAAAGTCCAGACCCTTTCGCTGTCTGGAGTCTCTAGCCACGTAACGCGCCTTAAACTTCGGCGGCTCTCCAGGTGCGTGCTTTACCCTAGAGATCCGCATGCCATCGATTACGTTCGCCCCAGGCGGGGGAATAGCGTCGATGTACAGTAAGTGCATGTGGATCTGTAGGATGCCATCTCTTCCTCCATGGGCTGCCCAGGGGCGTGACACGGCCTCAGCGTAAGAGCGCGAGATAGGGATGTCGAGGGCGTCCGAGTCGCCCTCTGGGGAGACAAGGATGGAGCAGAGATGGGGTACAGCGGCCGCAAGGTAGGCCAGCTCGTACTGCCTGTCCTCTAGCACGTTACTGCCTGGGGCAGGTGCACCACCGACAGACGAAGGACCGGCAGTACCAGAGACCAGAGCGGCAGCGTAGTCCAGGCGGTGGCTAGCAGTGAAGTCAGCGATAGCATTGACAAGTGCAGAGACAGACTCAGAAGGAGCGGTAGGGTCAGCGACAAGCGACGCGAGCAAGCGCAAGAGGACTAGATGAGCAGTGCGAGCTAAGTTAGTGGGAGGAGCAGAGAACAACGGTAACGATGACTAGGGAGCTAACGGAAGAACTGGGACTGGAGGAGGACGAGAACGAAGAACCATAGGGTCGACACTAGGACGAGGAGACTGGACGAGCACCAGGGGGACGATGGACATAGTGCGGAAGAACGAGGGACTGGGGACGAGGGGAAAAGGGGGAAAAGACAGGGGATGGAGGAGACAGCTGGGGAAAACGAGGGAGGGAACAGCGGGCCGTAAACAGTGTGAGGCCTAGGAGAAGGGACGCGCGGTCGGTCAAGGGAACAGTAGGAAAGACCAAGTAGACGAAGGGCAGATTGCGGCTGCTGCTGCTGCTGCTGCTGCTACTCCTCGTCCTCGCCAGGACCTCCAGCTCCACCTCAGTTAGTACCCCCGTGGACGCACCATCTACAGAACCAGCACCCCCAGAGTTAGCACCCCTAGAACCAGCACCCCCAAAACCAATACCCCCAGAACCAGCACCTCTATAACCAGCACCCCCAGAACCAGAATCCCCAGAGCCTACTACCCCCTGCTCCTGCTGTTGCGGCCGTTGAGTCTACTGCGGTGGCTACGGTTGTTGTTGAGGTGAGGGGGGAGGCTGCTGAGGTGCGTGGGGTACTTGGGCTGGGGGAGGCGCTGTAGGGAGAGCGCACCCCCTGCAGCTGGGCCCCCAGAGTCAGCACACTCCCCCACGAGCCCGACCAAGGGGATCGGAGTGGCGTGCGAGACACCAGACGGGGTCGAGCGGGGTAGGAGGGGTGCGACAGGGGGGGCAGGGGCAAGGAAGAGAGGAGGAGGAGGGACAAGAAAGTTGCTGTGAGGGAAGTGCCAGTAGTAGGGGAGCCTTTCGTTGAAGGTAACGTCACGAGAGTGGTAAAAGCGGTGGTGTATCAGGTTGTAAAACAGCTAGTCAGGGGCGTCTAGCGGAAAACCGAGGACAACATACGAAAAAGATTGTGGGCTGAGACCTTGTTTGCGCGGGTCGGCAAAACCTGTAAGCGCAGGGAGCGCGACCACACGTTAAGCTGCTGAGGTGCGCACGACGAACGGCCACAGAAAATGGGGTGCACCGACGTGGACCAAGGAGGTGCGAGCTACCTCCATGACCGGACTGATGCGTTGCTCAGCGACCCCATTCTGCTATTTGGAGTCCGATAGTGTGTACGTCTGGCGGATGCCCTCCGCACGACAGAGCTGTCTTAGACTGCCATTGGCAAATTCGCCACTACGGTCAGAGTGTAAAGGAACCACGGATAGGTGGTGGGGATGCGAGCAATGAGCAGCCACGGGAGGAGAACGGTAGGCATGTCGGCCTTCCGCTCTAGCGGCAACACGGTGGTGTAGCGCGAGAAGTCGTCAATGACGACTAGGAGGTAGCGTTCTCGGCTAAGATTATGGACTGGCGCAGGACCCCAGACGTCCATGTGCAATGGCACAGGACCCCAGACGTCCATGTGCAGTGTTTGTGGTGGCGCTGTGGTCGTAAGAAATGAGGAGGATTGAGGGGTGGCTCGCTGCCGACCCTCAACGCAGGAGGTGCACAGTGGCGCTACCGACACAGGCAGGGCTGTGAGCGACTCAGGAAGACTAGTAACTAGACCATGCTGAGACATTGTGCCTAAGACATGGTAGTGCAAGGTGACTTAAGCGGTGGTGCCACAGAAGGGTCGGGTGGGCAAGGGAGCGACAACAGCACGACACGACTACCTCAGCAGACGTAGCAATTGGCAGGGACTCAGTATGCAGGGTGAAGAGGTCGGACGCTGGGCCAAGCTCAAAAGTGGCAAGACGTCTACCCGTGGTTGAGTCCGTACAGGCTGGGTGCCTCGCGTAGCCAGGAAATGTGGTGGTGACTCCTCGATCCTAGCAAACGTAGGGATGTGCAGACCTGTGAGGGAGCCAGAGGGGACAGCTAGACAGGGAGAGTGTTGGCCCTGCGTGCATCTGCTAGGGATATCTGGAATGGTGGAGGAAGCGGGGTGAGAGCAGTACTGACTCGGAAGAAGCAGCGAAACGCGCTAGAGTCGAGTATGAAGGAGAGGGCCGCTCTAGGAGGGTCAGGGGAGGAGCCTAAGGAACACATAGTAGAGGCTCCTAGACTAGACACAGTAGTGGACCTAGACCCCTAGGCCCCAGGCCCCCGGTCCTCCAG